ATGAAGACGATTACAGCGACATCAATGCAGACAGAAGGCGTCTATCCCTGACCTTCGGGAGTAGGCAGGAATTCGAGGATTGGTGGACCAGAGAAATTGAGAGAATGGACCAGAAGCGACGAGCTCTCAGCACTTTTGATGAAATGAACGATCACTTGGAATACCTGGAGAGTATTTGCAGGACAACGGCCATCCAATCTAGTAAGGAGTAAGTACCCGATCTGGCACAGGACGATTGAATGCACTCACAGAGAAGTAGATATGAAATGAAATTCATCTGCGCCCAATCGGCCGTGAAACTCATCACACAAGGAATATTTCCTGTTGCGCCAGATTCAGTAGTGGTGGCATCATTGGATCTCCTGGATTTTCATTTGTGCGTGAGGTCACGCCAAATCCAAAGAGTTGCTTAATCCTCCTTGTAGAGAGAGGAAGCAGGAACATAAATTCCAGAAAATTGTGGCACCCCAGTGGGAAGATCCGAACCCTATGACGCAGGAGACGAAGAAGAGGATTGCCAAAATAGAGTATATCCTCTGTCCTCTGGTTGGGGGTTTCAGCTCGCATACTTATGACATTCGTGACAGGGACTTGTGTCGTTCCGACCCCATTCTCGTGAATCGAGCGTCGCGTGTACCAGATCCACCCATTATTGGTGAAAGGGCTCGATCTCCCTATCAATTCGTGAATGTATATGTCAAGGAAACGAAGTGAGCTACCAAGATCATCCAAGAGAAGGCGCTGAACGATTATGGGAACTCGTAGGCCTCGAAATACCTTTGCAGACATTCTAGAAGCGATGCGGAGCAAAGCACCGCGCGTTGATAATCCGAAGTACAAATCAGAGTGCGCCCTGTTCAGATTGAAAAAAAGGAAGTAACATCCTTAACAGGGCGAATAGTGAGCCAAAGAAGCAGCACCCTCAAGGAAATACGGACCATTCCAGGGTTACTTCTGAGAATTTACGTTCTGACCCTGCAGCAGAACCTGCTGAGTTAGATGGGTTCGACAACCTCAACTCGGAGACTCCCTTCAGGTGAGAAGACCCCCACCAGCCCACATGTCATAAGAAAGCTAAATGGTCCTGTTAGCTACGACGATGATTCAGGAGACTCAGAGCTCCTTGCCATAATCAGAGAGGCTTTTTCAGATAATTCAGAGCCAGACTCCGCAGCACCCAAGACACCTGAAAGACGACGCCGTAGCTCTAGTTGTGCGCCCAATACCCCATCGCCGGCGAAAAGAAACATAGAAGACGACGAGTCAAATCAGGACCAATCGTCATTCGCCACCCCAAAAGAGGAAGATCTCGCCGCGATGTTTTATGGAAATCCTTGGTTCGCATTTAAGAAGCGAAATTCCAAACAGGTGTTCTTGTGGGACTATGACGTCAACTGCGTATCCTTCAAAGTTGTGAAAGGAGGGAAAGTATCAGGCGAGTGGGTATTCGCCCTTGACATGGCGTATAGGAAGGACGCATTGTATCAATTGCTGATGGCCACGTCATTCCATGGTAATGACCCTGGCAACAAGATGATTGATATCCTGCGGAAATTTGATGCGCGGCCGGAGGTCGTCTACAAGAAAACGTTCGTAACCAGGGATAAGGGTTTTCAGTTTATGGTCAAAGAACTTTGGTGCGACGAGGAATGGAAGTTCAATCTGGAAGCCAAGGTCACTTTCTCGAGGCTCCACAGCATGATGAAGACGAGCCGTAGGGTGGAAATGGAGTCAGAGTTGTGGCCGGACTGGTTAGATTATCTTGAAAAGAAGTGAGGTTCTGGAGATTTGAGACTTCGGAAGAGTGAAGAGTGAAGACTTGGTTGTCGGAACGTACGTACATGACAGGGTCAAATTGTATTATCATTTTTAGTGTTAACAAGAAGCTTGTTGGGACGATTGACAATTTTAACGATGGAAGCCTAAACAATCAATATGAGAGCGAATGAGCACGCTTCTAAAGCAATAGACAATTTTATGGGGCCGCAAAAGAATAGTCCAATCATCAACGTTGACGTGAAAGAAGACATGTGCCACACCGTACCAATATGTATTATTAGCTCGCAAGGTATGGAGAGAAAAACGAAGCGAAGGCAGTTATATACTTTCATGGACTCACTTTGAAAACAAACAAATTAATCATCCAACTTCAATATCTTTATCGCGGTACCCCTCTTCAGTCCTAGCAGCTCTTCGCTTGTCAGTACGTCTGCTAGACTATCGACCCACTCTTGGCCTTCACTAATCAGAGCGAAGGGATAATCAATCGAATGCATAATCCTGTCCAAACCTATCTGTGACTTGTGGAATTGCAGCAACGGCGTTGCGAAGTTTCCAGCAGTCGTCTCATACAAATTTGTGAGCCAATACGAGGACGCATTCCGCTGCATGGGGATTCCCAGTGGAACTTGGCGAAGGAGTTCTTTCGCAACAGATGGATCAAGACCGTGAAAGATGGCATACCATTATAAGACTCACGTTCATCAGTTCTGAATAAATCCGAGGGAAGTCTCTCCCCGAGATGGCCAACGATGATTTTGAGAGTTGGGAACCGGCTGTCCACATTTGTTAATCGCACATGCAGGCAAACGCAAACGGCAGATGCGCATACTCGAAAACCCCGTTTGTACATAATCCCAATATGTGTGTCGACAGTGTTGCTGCAAATTCTTGGGCAGGGCCTCTGAGACCAAAGCCATGGCTGTATACCAGCGACGAAATAAGCTGAACATTCGTTCTGGGGTGGAAGTACACCGGTACGTCCAGGTCCGTGACCATCTGCCAGAATTCATCGTATTCCGGCTGGTCATAGTACAAGAGCGTGTCTGCAGACACGTTAGATACCTCGTGTGCCGTGGGGGTAACACGGAAACATACCGTTATCCGGTCCAGACTGTTGATAATCATTAACCAAAGCTCCGAGGAAACCTAGTTCATTGACGGTCCGGTTGAGTTCTTGAGCGGCTACAGAAGCGTTGTGCATAGATAAAGCTGCGAAAGCGCCAAACCGCAGAGTATTGTTCGAAATAAGATCCGCTAAGAGGTTGTTGAGATTCACGGCCATTGCAGCGGCTGTTTCCGGATCGGACACCCCTTGGACGCAAGGTTGTGCGCAGGAGAGAACCATCTGAGTGCACCGTTCCGGAATCAGTGTATCTTCAGAGGACGGAGGCGTCTTACGAAGTCAATACCAAACTCATCCATCTGCGCCAGCCTTTGGTTATGGACATCAACGAGATTTGCACGAAGTTCTGCGATAGTTTCGCCTGACATCGTATTCATTCAGATTGGCTATAGGCGCGAAAGCCCAAGAGACACACCGATAGCGGGCGCGCCACTACATTTCTTCCAATTAATATTTGCGATGTCTCCTTAGAAGATAACGCTTACCCCACTGTCCCCGCAAGTTCAGCAGTTGTCCATGCCTCCTCAAAGACGATAGCCCCAACGCCCGTATCGTTCCATACCCTGGCGTGAACGAACGATACCGCGGTAAGAGCAAGCAGAAATAAATGTTTCATTTCGTAGCAGCGATAAGGCGATACATTCTGATAAATCCACCGCCATATATACTATTTCCCGGGGGGACATGACCGAGCGTAAGAATAACATGGTAAAAATCGTACCGTATGACGAACAAATATCCCCAACTTGGTTCAAGAATGCATGTCAGAGGACACGTCTTACTCATTGCCAACCTCGGGAGTTGTGCACAGATAGAGAGAGCACGTCACGAGTAGGAAATCAGAGAGCAGCACGCTGCAATTGTTGCGATGTGCGCGGGAGCTCAACTTGGGGTAGATACGTCCGAGATTTCTTGAACTAGAAGTAATGATTTATGAGCATCAGAAGATAAGCTGGAAGAGTTTGAATAGTAGATAATGCACCTCTCATCAACACCTGTGGCATATTTATCGGCCAGAGAGATGAATACGAGGACAGAGACGGAGGAAAAGACAGAATCTCTGCGACCGAGGTACAACCTCAGTCCCAGTAGCTCGTGACGCGAGTAACAATCGCACTTCTCACTAAGGCAAGATGCTTTGCACACTGCGGAGAACACAGGGGAGCCGTGGTAGGTTTGAATATCGAGACCTTTCCCATCGTTGTGGTCTGAAGTCAAGCGCCATTCCGCCGGTCCGGTGCCGCCTATCTATATCTGCCACCAAATTAAAATACAAATCGGAAGAACCCACTCATCCACGGCCCATATAAATCTCGCCTTGTACTCCACCGGCAGCCACCAGCCCCAGGGTAAGTATATTAATATCCCCCCATCTCAGATCCACGCAAAAAACTTTTTCGTTCTCATCAGATTCAGTACTCGGACTCGCCTGGTCTATTCTCTTACCACATAATGACCCAACGTGTCTTCTCCGGCTCCGAGGCTTCTCTAAATTTTATCGCCACTTTCATCTCGTTCAGGGTTCTCTACCGAAGAGGATGATGGAAAAGAAGTCGTCGTATACAGCTCTTTCAGCTTTGCCATCTTTAAGACTTCCCGTTTTGGAGAGACAATCGTGCGTAATATCGTACTCTATAAGATTGGTATCAAACCGTCTCTGCTGTTTGGATACAAATGTATATGATAAAATCTTCATGATCTTTGTTCCCAACAAGTCATTCTGCTTGTTATTTTTTTAATAGCGAACCCATCTTCCCTTTCTGATGATGCTCTCATGAGCATGTTGTAGCCCCGTGGTTTGATGAGTGAGAACTCAGTCACTTAGTAGTATCGCACCCGGACCTCCTATGCCAAAACGGATATCCAATGCGGTCATCTGGAGATTCGGCACGAATCTCTTCGATGCGGAGCAAAATCATTTCTTTAGGAAGATAGGTAAGGAGGATAGCTTCATAAAGGGATGAAGAAGGTGCGGCTGTCACCGTAATTGCTGTAAATTGAACATCAGAGCTCAAGATTCAAGATTCAAGATTCGCAATGCAAAACGCCAAGGACTGCCAAAAACAGGTAAAACCTATTGATGCCCTTTCACGACTTCCCTCTAGCCGACTTGAACGACTGACCTCGTCATAGCTGACTACTAGTGACGCGCTCTACCAGCTGAGCTAAGAGGGACTTACCTGTGAGGGTATAGGTATTACTAAATATCGGTACAAGATCACCGTCTGGCGTCAAAACCTTCAAACTGCCGTTAATCAGGTACCCTCCCTCTACAAAACGGCCCTGAACCTGAGAATCCCTCTCCCGTCGGTACCTCTGGCATTTAAAGTATTCGCCCACCCGGCACCGGCTATCACACTTCCATACCACGCTGTCCGCTCAAGATGCACAGAAATAATTGACACAACACGGTCCCTCCTCGGGACACTTTTCGGATATCATTGAAAACCCTCCTACGTACACTAAATATGTACACAAGCAGAGCTACCAATCAACTAAACGAAGGGGATATGTACACACACTGCGTATTTACGAAGGGAAAAGTGAAAAAACGACGATTAAACACAAAGCATAGTAGTAACGGGATATCGATATATATAACATTAAATTGACTTGGGGGGGAGACGAAACAACGAGCGGCATTGGAAGGAGAGAGAGAGTTAGAGCAAGGACGAAAAGAGAGAAAGCCCAAAGAATAAAAACAAAAGTATCAGCGGTCACCGTCACCATAATACCCATATGTGCCCGCATTGGTATACCACTGCTGCTGCGGCTGTTGTTGTGGCTGCTGCTGCTGCTGTGGGTACCCGCTCTCACCACTAAAATCGTCAAAGCCGGCGTTCGGAGAACGGAAGCCATTCCCATTCTCCGAAGCCCCATTTGCACCATTCTGATACGGCTGGTATCCTCCATCGTATTCGCCAAAAGGCGGATACTCAATTTCCATATACCTCTGAGGAACCCTCTGCGGCTGCTGCATCCCGTAGTGCTGGTAATACTGTTGCTGCTGTTGCTGGCTGATCATTACAGAGCTCCATGACCGAGAGTCGTCGCGATTGTGGTCGGGAGCCGGTGTCATCTGGGCCGAGAGAGGGATTGGAGGGGTAGTCGGCTCCGTCTTGAGCGGGGACGTGGAAGGAAAATGGAGACTCAGATTCTGCTGCTGCGAGGGCTGCTGCTGAGGGAGATACCAGTTGTTGATAGGGGGTTGATGTGGCTGGGGCTGTGCCTGGTCTAAGGAAGAAGGGAGGGTATGAGGATGAGCTGGCGGTGGAGGGGCGTCGAAATAAATGGTGGCCGCCTGAGGAGGACTGGGGGGGAGGTGGGAGGGGGATGAGGGATGAGAGCGGCGGGAGGGTGGGCCCGTTGGCAGTGCCGGGGCGGGAGGAGAAGCCGAGTGTGGCGGGGATGGCGTTTGGGTTAGATGGCTGGGCGGGCTGGTTCGCGCCGGCGACGGATGGTTGGTCACGAAAGGACTGGCCGTTCCGGGGGTCACGAAAGGACCGAAAGGAATTACTCCCTGGTCCGGCAGAGGGCGCGGAGGCCGAATTCGGATGCGCAACGCTGTGGTCGCTGGATGCCGACGTCGGCGTCGATATGTGCCAGGTGTCGCCTTCGTAGCCCGTGCTTGTGCCAGGCCGAATCGTGTCCGGCACCTTGGGCGGCACGCGCCGGGTCCCCCGGGACTTGTTCGCCGCCGCCATCGATGCGTGCAGCGTCGTGAGATCCCGCATCATCCGCTCGTTGTCCTCCTGCTTGTCCGAGTGCACCGTCTGGGCATGCTGGCGCAGGTTGTCCAGCCGTGAAAATTGCTTCCCGCAGTGGCAAGTAAAAGGGCGCTCTCCTGTGTGCTTCCTGCGACGCGATGAGGGCCTGCTGGAACGAGAGAGAAGGCACGGTACCTGATATGCCTCGCGAGGTGCTCTGATCTGCTGAAGACCATGCGACACTCTCCATATCCCCTGCACTGGAACGTCTTGGCGGGGGCGGGGCGGTAGCGCTTGGTGATTGCAGCAGACGGCGGGGGGACAACCATGGTGGCCATCGTGTCAGACGACAAGGACGAGGACGGATGCGGCTTGGGCTGATCAGGGGAGGGAGTACGTCCACGAACCATGGGTACTCTGTTGAAAGGAACGATTTTAAGGTACATTGATTGTCGCAGCGGAGTCTGAAAGGCCTGAACCTACCAGTATCTCGGATCCGACCATGTCGCAACCAAATACATGCAGATAGGGTCACAGCCCGTCACGTTGCTCACATCGGCAACTCGGAATCAAAAAAGATCAGAAAAGATCAAATATGGTCCAGAGCGCCCTGCCTGGCCTGCCATGCTATCTCCTCCAATCACCATCCCGAGATCGTTCCTCTCTACCGCCGTGTCCCACATGCTCCCGATAAGTGCCCCCGTACAGCGGCTGCCTCTGCAGAACAGCCTCTGCTCAAGACAGCTAGCATGGAAAAATCTTCGTGGTTTCAAGACTATATTTCACATCGTGGCGACCCGTCATGTCACTTGCTTGCCGACCATTTCAGCCATGCTCCATCCAGGAACAAGATCATCAGGTACCACATGCCTCCATCCAGGGTTCTTTCTTCTTTCTCTGTTCGATTTTTCATTCTTCTGGGCGTCTGGGTGCGCGCGCAGTCATGAGCCCTTCTGTACTCAAGCCGGATCAGAACCCCACTGCATGGCCTGGGCTGCGACGTCCAATCGCCCTCCCGTTAATCTTTATCGTTTGACGGCAAGCTCAGTCCGCAACTGTGTATTTATGGTACTCTACGGCATTTTTCTGCGGCCAGAAATTTTGATGACGCGATATGTATCAACTGTATCAATCCACCTTTCATTGACTTGGTTGACATTACGCACTTTTCTCCACTGATTCCGTATCCCCATTGCGCCGGATCACATTACTATAACGTACATTCTCTTCAGCCTCCGGATCAGTCGCTCGTAATAATTCCTCCTGGTTTTATGAACACCGTAAGTTCTTATGTACATATACCCACCAGTGTATATGATGATCAGGAACCCCGTTCCACAGTACGCAATTTTCTGTAGGCGAATGAAACTCTTCCCTCCTCCTCAAATTCCAATTCCAACTGAGACAACTCCCGCCTAGCCTTAAAATTAACTCTCCAGAATTGACAATTGCCACGAACAACGTGTCTTCGCCCTGGCCACCCCACATTTTGACATACGAACAAACACCACCGTTGCAAGCTCTACCTCCCCGGATCAGCGCTTGACATACCACGAGATCAGGCCCACCCTCTATGAGATGATCAGGAACATACCCAGTCGCTGCACCAATCCCACGCCCTACATACAGCCATTAACGGCCCCGAGATCCCTCGTTCTCCATCCAATACCACGTCTATCAGTTTTCACTCATCAATCAACGCATAAGCTTCGTACCCCCAATCCCTCACGATTGACGAACATCGCCTTCCCAAACCTCCCCCCGATTGCCGGCGGTTTCCCCCAAATGCATCCTTCCATTCACCCTTCCTCTCACCAGTGCTTCGCAGCAAAGGAGGAGATCGCCGGCGTGGGCCGCTCGAAGTTGGGCCTCAAGTCCCTCTACTTCCGCGCAACGCAAAATTACCTCCATCCACCCCCTTGGATCTTTGTTTCATTAATAGAGCCTGATCAGGTACGGCCTCACCTCCCGCCGGTCCCATTCTGCTTGAACCTCAGTCGCTTCGATCAGGGTGCTTAGATCAGGACGTGTTACTGAGGATGACATTCCGGAGCATTATATGTCACCCGCCGTCCCAGATGATTTGGGGCTTGATATCTATTGTCCCCATATCACGAAAACGTGGGAGTTTAGTGTCAATTTGTTCTGGGTATTCCAGGCGTCAAGGACTTTAAACTTGTGCGTCTCCAAATATTTGTCTCCCTCTTAGCTCAGTTGGTAGAGCGCGTCACTAGTATAATACATCCTGATGACGAGGTCAGTCGTTCAAATCGGCTAGCGGGAATGGCATGATGCTTTTTCAGGATCTTTTGCACCATTCGGACTACCATGGTGCGTCACTAGACTCATTACCCTTTGATCTGCTGCTTAGGTTCTTCCAGATTGACAATATTGAATTTTTGTATCAGCAGTGAGCAGTGGGCACCGGGCCTTTCGAAATACAAGTCTCGTCATGATGACGAGATGTATGCATAAGCTTCGACACCTTTCGCAATAGCAAAGCCCTAATTAACAACGAACACTTTCAAGTCAAGTATGGTCGCACGGAGCTGCGAGTCCTTCTGCGTCCTTTCCCATTCCGGTGAAAGACGCTCATTTTCATTGACCTGCACGATTCATGATCAGGTACGTGATCTTCAGGTACGTACCTAACCAGATGCACTGCGCAATGATACACGACAAAGTCACGGTTCCACGTATGATGTCCACCAAAGATTAATGAAAGCCTTACGTGAAGCGCACCGCCCCGCTAACGTAGAGCTGCCATACTCGGGACCGCTAAACCCTCAACCTTCGGACCGTTCTATGTATGTGGATAAACAGGGTAGGCGCGTTCGAAACTCAAAATCCTGAAACGCTACGTAGTGCGGACCGGTCAATTGGAATGAAACCTTCCGGAGAAAGGGGGCGATTTTTTTCGTGGCCGAGTCTCCGTATGTTTATACGCATCTCCGATGGGATGTTGCTAACGATGTGGGGAAAAGGACGTAATGCAGGTCAAAATCTGATAAAGGGATGTAGTTATTCAATCGTATCTGAGTAATGTTATCCCTCTTAGCTCAGTGGTAGAGCGTGTCACTCGTACTTTTCATGTACAATGACAAGGTCAGTCGTTCAATCCGGCTAGCGGGAAATTGTAGCCTTTTAACGTATTTTTATTTTATTTCCCCCTCCCACCCCTCCCAACTGTGTAATAGGGCTGCGCACACAGCCTCTGGGGGATATGGTTTTGTACTGACCTGTCTGCGAGCGGTGTGTTTTGATACGGTAACTTACCGTTACTTGGTGTAGTCTCACATGACTGACGCGCGGCATTTGCGATTTTCTTCATCTTCGTGTTATCTTACACACTTTTCTTTCTCCTGTAGTATGATTTGTTGGAAATCACTACAGAGATATGCTTTACGCTGTAAATGAATATGAATGCAATAGGATTGAGTAGTGGCTAGTGGTGACATGGCTACTCATGTATCATCGCATGACAGGTGAGTTACCTGAACGACCCCTCCAGCGGGGTAGGTAAATTACCAGTAACTAACCGGTCCGAAACCCTCCTGTATCAAAACCTAGGGTTGCGTGCGTAGCTCTTCCAATAAAGACAGCGCCGTTTAGGACCCAGCTGTTCGCATTCTTAACATTTTATTTATAGCTGTACCTCATCAAGAACATGAGCATGCATCTGTACTGCTATGCTTATTTGATAGTCAGACATCATAAATAAGTTAACTTTACTCGACGAAACCCCCTCCAGTGAAGGGTGTCAACCTAGCTTTCATGTGCTGCCAGCACTACGCAGTGGAACAGGCGTCTTTGAAAAGAATCAAAGTTGGCTCTCGGGATTTGTCACTCGGGACAGAGAACACTGGACGGTGCAAGGCCTACTCCGATATCTGGATCAGCCGAAAGCCCAATACTTGGTGAGTTTCCAGAAGTACTTGGACTTCCTCGGTTGACGCTGGTTGTGCGACGTAGCCAACTGTGAAATATTATGTATGCTTCTATATAGTTTATAACAGTGTGTGAAGGCCCCATGCTCTAATTGCATAACTGTGCTCGTCAATCTAATGCCGCATGGTAAGCTCCGCTACATCTCGAGCCTTTTCCTTGCAACAAACCCCGTAGATCACTGGGCTTGTTATGAAATTCCAGCCCTCATCATAAGCCGAGAGTCATCAAATGACTCCGTTTGAATTGCTTTTTATTACCTCCAGAAAGAACCCTCTGATACGCCCCCAATGTGTTCCATACACGATGTCTGCCTCGGTCCTCCGGTCCAATGTTTACTTGTCTGAAGAACACATCGTAAAATAGGCAACCGCGAACCGACATACGTAGTCGCATATACACTTTCTGATACCTTCTGATCGGAGAGAAGACCGATTCCCGACGTGTGTTTCTCTCGCTTTTTCATCTAGCGCAGATGCCGCACCCGTATCAATCGCGCCGGCGCCGCATGACACGATGGCGCGACTGAGTTATCAGCGCTGTTATTCCGAAAAATGATGATGGTGGAAAACAACAAGATACAAGATGCAATGTAACAATGTAGGATCTGCTCAACGCCTCTCAGGAATCTCGTCAATTACTCACCACTGACCCTGAGGCAATGTGCGTCGGTAATGAAAAAATAAGTAAGGCCTTCAAATACAGTTGAGTGACTCAGGGGCTGCGGTGAATATGACGCCGTGTGAGTCAAGCAACCCTGTCTAGATACGGGCGCTGACATCGTCTTGTAGCTTTCCCAGCATCAGCACTGTGCCCTCCAAATCACTGCGCCACATGCAAGACTTCGGCCTTCACAGCCTTGACATCAAGACTTGTGACTTAAGGTGGAGCGGAGGGAATCGGTATTGCGTACTGACAGAGGTGGTATGGGTTGATCCAGAAGCAGGCAGTGCGGGTGACGCTCACTCCGAGGAGGAGGACTGGGAAGACTGGGAAGACTTTGCCAGTATCCTGGCCCTCGACGCCGAAGCAGAATTATTAAGCCGCCATTTGTATCAAGGTGTGTCATTTTCAGTCCTCAGTTATTGGCGGAGAACTTTATGATCTGCAGAGCTCGAGACCGACTGGCAGGCGACAGTGGAAGAAATTAATTGCGATAATGAGTGGGACTGGGAAGATCTGAGCAAGTGCGAACCGCATTTGGATATCAAGTCCGAGATTTTGCGATGATGTTCAAGTCTTGATTGAATGTCGCTGATGGGTTGGTACATGTGTCATATGCATACAGTTCCTTCGCGAAGGAGAAGACAGAACCAGAGGAGAAAAACGCTAGTAGATATTTATCACCGTTTAATAGAGGCCTAGAGACCTCTAGATCAGAGGAGGCAAAACTGAAGCTACTCACGAAACATGACGAAAGAGGACGAGAACGACGCCGACAGATTGGACGGTCTCGATGGTGGAGAAAAAGGCGGAGGTCGGACCGAGTATGCTTATTTACTAATATTTGGGCGACAAAACTTTATATTTCTTCAGCATACTTCGATGGTGGCGTCGACAAACAGAATGGGTCTGCAAATTATGTCGAGACCTCATCAATCCATGGCACGCTCGAAAAATCCGTATCATCATCTATCCTGAAAGGAGAAATGTTCGGTGGATAGCAGCAAACCGCGACTGCGACTTAAAGATGCTAGTGAAAAATGCTGACATAGCAGCCTAACCATACCAGTGAGTTCTGCAATTGGTTTCGTAAATATACATAATTTCATGATAAACTTTAGCGAAACAAACGCGTAAACATAAGCAGGGATGCATATTTCGTGTTCAAAGACTCATGTCCCATCTGCGGCTCAACCTGATCATCCTCAACATCTCACCATACGTCAATCTTTGCGTAATTTCGAACCACCGAACGCCATCTTCCAAGTAAAACGCAGAAATCTTGTACTTCTCGTCGTTACCTGTGACTCGTAATTTTGCTCCCCGAACTCGGTGGGGATTGGTGTTGAAATAAGCTTGGACATCTCGCACGTTCATCCCGGTGTCGAGTTCGCTATATCGGAGCTTCTGAACCATCTGCTCGCTGTTGTACTTTGCCCTGATGAGAAATCGCCCGTTAGTCTCGTCTAGGACCGTGTACTCGCAAGCGTCGGTAATCCTGTCAAGCAGGAACTTGTGTCCCACAATGCCAGGAGGGTCGTTCCGGAATTCGGCTACTAATTCTGCATCCCATGGAGGTTCGGGTACAGTGTCATGTCGCCTCCTTCTGTGGGCCGACGATGGATGGGTTTCATTACTGCTACCGAGTGGATTCTCTACGCTGCTAATATCGGTGTGAGCCGCGTATTTGCGCCATTTGCAATAGATAAACGTACTCGATCCCCTCTGACCGCTGAAGAACAGCCTCCTCATACGGCGGTGGTGGTGACTCAGTAATAACAGGTGCGTCTAATCCCTGTTGGATTGGTATATCACTGATGTCCCTTAGTACTGAATACTTGTTCGAAGCGCCCAGTTCTTACCTAGAACTAGCCCACAGCTCGGCGCTTGTTGACGGCTCTAAACCTCCTGTGGCAGTAATTTGAACATGGCTTTGCACTTGGTCAGCGGGTAATAACCGAGAACGAGGTTCGTCTAATATACGCATGTCATCGTCCCTATTCATATTCAGTTCATAGATTATCCATGAGAAAAATCTACGGGGCACACCTGTTCGGGGAATTTCCGTGGCCATAGGGCTCGGGCGGGAGCCCGACGTTTTGCGGCTCGTCATTATATCGGCCCGTCCTGTTCAGATAAGATCCATGCTGGTCATTAATGACTGGCCTGCGTAACAGCGATCAGTTGATGCTTGGAATATTGAGTCGCACCGGTGCCTACGTACCCGGTAACATTTCCCTCAGAAGTCTCGACGTCATCCATCGAAGCCGCAGGCGCAGCTTCTCCAATATGGGAAGACACATGCTTGAGTGGGGCTCTTGTCCGCTGTGCAGGAACCTTCGTAGGAATTTCGGGTCTATTTAAGAGCCTAGTATGATTTTGACTGGATAGCGGAGACTCTTCGGAGCGCCTCTCTACCCTGCGAATCCTCTCCGGCACAGCATGTGGGACCATCCTTTCAGTCTGTTCTCTCGACAACTTAGGCGGCGTTGACATTGGACGAGAAACTGCCTCCCTCCGGTCACGGTTGAGTGGACTTGGTTTTTCCGCGTCTGTATCTGGTCGGTCGATGGTACGGGGCACGTCAGTTGCACTTGGCTTGGTACTTTGACCATCGCGCGGCATTCTTCCCGGTTGCGTAGATCCGGGACGAAGAGTAGCTTGCGTATGATTGGTCACCTCCTGCTTCTTTGAACGATTTACTGCTGTACGAGGCATCGTCGATGGAGGGTAATCACTTTCCGAGCGAGGGAGTGCCCTGTAACCTGGTTGGGCGACGTCCGGGCTCATTGGCGCGATTTTTATCTCCTGAGGGGGCCTCAGTTGTGGATAGTTTGCGTTCTTGAAGGCACCATAGTCCTTTCTAGGAAATCACTGAATATCATCATGATAGAGATCACAAATATACGGACAATATATTATTGATGATCTTTCTGCGTTCCGTCGCACTGACCGAATCTTGGCTGTAGATGGGGTGTTTTAACCAAGGATGGGATAAGGCACTAGGGAAGGAATAATGATTCATTGAGCGTTGGACTGAGAAAGTACTGTACAACTCACAACAGCCTGTCCAATTCTTTCATCGCCTCCCATTGTGCATCTAGGGTGTACAGAGTGAAGACTCGCTTGGTAATCGTCAATACCGCCGATTCTGCACAGATGCCTTTCTTCACGCAACTAATCCGACGTAAGGTGAAAAAATCCATCGAGTTAAGCATGCACGCACTCCAAGAAATTGTTCAATGGTGTCCTAATCTCCGTCTCCATCAGTTTGATATGCTTGTTCATTTCATCAAGTGAGGTCAGCTCCTCAAGACCTCTCTGTAAATTGCTGGATCTTTGCTTCAAGTATCGTTGAAAATCGTCCTGGCTCCCGAAATCCTTCGTTATCATGTCTTCAACTTTCATTCCATGATAATCAGGGTTGCCGCTCCTGAGAGCCCTTTGATCTGCCGGCAGCTCTAATCTGATAGAGAGGAAATGATATAGCCATTTCGCGAGGTCATCACTAGACGTGAGAGATGC